GTGACCCAGAGATTTTTTGCTGAAAACAATGGTCAGGCACTTGTATAAACATTGTTTTTCGCCCACTAATTATGTGTTCTGGCTATACCGGCCATTAACAGATTCTTTCCTAATGCACTTACAGCATAAGTAATGAGGGCCATACTGTGTTAAATAAACTCCAACATTTATCTGAACCTAAAATAAAGCTTCAGCAGTCAAATCTACACAAATCAGTGCATCTTTCAATGCAAGTTCTTGTATGAAATATTCTCTTTGTGTTAAGATGCAGCTCACCAAGAAAACACTGCAAATGTAGAATATATTCCTTTCTTGTGCTATATGCAGCCCATACTTGGAGGTGTAGGGTGCAAGAGAGCAATACAGGACAATTATAAAATAATCCTGAGGACAAATAGTCACACTAAAGGACAATTCTAGTGAGAGGCTGAGAGGAGGAAGAGGCACAGCATACGACAGTGAAAATGAGATTTCTGCAAAAAGACTGTTCTGTCAGGAGAGTGAAAATCATGTTCTTCTCCCCAGAGTCCCAAGAGGAAGAAAAGTCAAGTCTAGTTGAGAGATGATGGCCAGCACAGGGACCGGAGAGCCAAACAGCTGGCAAAAGGAACTGACTAAGTCTGGGCTATTGTTGTTGCAGAGCGTAGGAGTTGAGTGACTTGATGAGAAGGCAAAGACGAGACAAGATCGACATCCATGATGGCTGAGGAGAGAGTTTCAGGACGTGTGATTGGGGTTGCCATTGTTGTAATCATTTCTTTTCCACAAGACTCATCCTTTCATCCTGGATTTATCCTTGTGTGACTTTTTTTTTTGTTGTTTGCCTCTCACCCCTCTTCCAGCCACGGCTGTCCTCCCACACCCCCTTTTCTTTTTTTTTCTCTCTCTCTCTCAATCTGATTACTCTGCTTTATGCAAACTACAACTCTCTCTGTCTTTCTCTCTTGTGTATTCCCCTTTCGCTTTTACATCCCAATTAGTTGGATCCTGTCTACTCTCAGCCTGTCCTTCTAGTTCCTTATCTTGCCTAGTGCAGACTCAACGTTGTTCAATATTTGATGAGACTTTGTTCATAAATCAGCCTACTCTATTCCCCGTAGTGTACTTGAATGATAGTGTTAATCTCCGAAACCTTGTGAGTGTTAACACGCCGCTCTTTGTCAGCTTTTAATTTGAGCAGCTTGCGGCCTAAATTGTGATCAACTCTGCACATGTAAATCACACTTAGAACAATGACCAGAGGTGGGTCCCATCATGTGCTGCCCTCACTATTAAATGTGTGTTGAATATGGATTGATAATTGAACCGCTGAGCTCTCTTACGGCTGCACTGATAAGCATTGAGACTCTTAACTTTATTGCCAGCAGTAAAAAAAAAACTTTAATGAAGAAAGTTTTAAATATGTTAACCAGCCACATAATTTTCCCCAAAACAATTGTGGTTATTGCTTTCAGTGCTTATTCATTTATCAGCTCTCCTTTCCCAAAGGTATCCTAAGTGGGGTTTTTTTTCTTCCCCCAAATCCTCCCTCAGTTTTCTCCCCCTCCAGACTCCTCTGGTTTATTTGCCCTGACAGACATTGTGTTTGCGTTGAAGTGGCCCACCCTGTCACTCTCAGAGAGTCTTGGGGAATCGACCACAGTCACTCCTCCTTCCCTCTGTGCGAGCTTTTCTCCCAGAAATGCTCAACTAGCAGACTTCCTTTAGGCTGGTGAGACACGAGCAGAGCAGGATTGGCTCGTTTTGCATACATCCAGTCAATCATTCAAACAGTGCTGACTCTATAATTATGTCATTTAAAATACGACTAATCTGAAAGATGCTGTGAATCTTATTTGTGTCGTTTCATCGCACGAAGCAGTCGTGGTTTCATTGTTGTATGTATAAACCAGTTTGTAAAATCAGATTTCTAGGTCGATCTCTCTCTATCTCCTCTGATTTTTTTTTAAAGTGCACAAATTTATTTTAGACATTGATTAAAGTTTCTTTCATTCTAGGCCAAAAACCGAACTAATTTCAACGCAGTGGTTCCCAGCTTGGGGGTCAGAATCCCCACAAAGGGATACCAGATAAGAAAAAAAAAAGAGAGTAATGATTCAGCAGTACAAGGAAAGAGAAGAAAAATAGTTCTGCAACCAAATATGCATTTTGTTTGTATTTATTTTCTCAGAGTTTCCAGTTTTCGTGAGCCAGTCGGTACACATATATATGCAATAACCATAGTTCATACTTTCAAGCCTCAATACTTTACCAGAAACCTAATTCTGATGACTAATTATAACTCATACTAGAACTAACACTAAACTAACACTAACCTCAGCCAACCAGCTTGTTGTTATTGAAACAATATTTAATCCTCACAAAATGTACAAATCCATTTTCAGCTGTACAACAATCAGAGGTGGAGGCAACACAAGCAAAAAACATTTTTAGTTTTCAAGTCCCAGCATCAAGTAGTTAAGCAGTGTTCTCGTTGCGTTGTTGTTGACATGGGTATACTCTTCATCAAATGTTTCTGTTGGATGTCTGGCTATTGGCTCGCTTCTTCATCTCTACATTATTATTTATGTCAATTGCAGGCCACTGTAAGCTGTGCCAGACACCTGTCGATGTCCTTGGTCCCCGATAGAGGTTGATAAGTCAAAAGTCATAGATCACTTAATGCCCCTTTAACCTTCATCAGCACCATGTTCTCTGCATATTCTAATAATAACCGACTGAAGTATCTGCATGTTGGTAATCTGTGACTGAATGAGTTTAGATCTGTGTCCTAATTCGACTTGTGTCTCCATGAGTTCCATCTGCCCCATCTGAGCACTCTGATACCCATCTATTTCAGACTCCCAACTCATATGATATTCAGAGCACCAAACTGCCAATGAGACAGTGGGAGATTCCTTGCGTCATTCACCATCATTAAGGCGGCTGTTGGCAATGGTCCAGATCTGCATGATGGCAAAGCCCCTGTAGCCAGACTTCACCACAGAAAAACCCGGACAAAACATATGGAGGCGCCAGTATGCCAAATCTGAAGCACTACGAAGCAATGAAACCATCTTAAAGCAAAAATCCACCCAGCAACACTTTTGCTACTGTTTTACAACAGTTGTTGGTGATGCAACTGGTGTATCTCTGAGTCCATCTGATTATTTTGTAGTACTTTGTTCGTCCTGCAGGTAACTGACATCATGTCAATCAAGAGATGTTCCACTTAATGTCAACTGAGTTAAACAGCAGGAAAACTGTCTTTAACATCGGTAGTAAGGGCCTCTTCAGAGACTTGGTGCTTACATTCATGAAGGAAGAAATCAATATCACATGAAGTAGTTGCTCCACTCAGTGAGCCCTCAGTGTTCTCCTTTCCTCTTGCTGCTCACCTCTTACCCCGATCTGTTGAGGCAGACAGACGCCCACCCTGAGTCTGGTTCTGTTGTAAATTTCTTCCTGTTAAAAGGGAGTTTTTCTCCCCAGTGCGTCGAAGTGCTGGCAGTACTGGAGAACTGCCTCAACTATATTGCAAGAATTTGACCTTTCTATGTAAAGTTATGTTATGATTGGGTGCCGTATAAATAAAAGTAAGTTGAATTTTAAAAAATGACCAAAAAACCCAACCTAGGGCATCAAAAACGTTTTGCCAAAAGCCGATGGCAGCGTAGGTTTCCTCTGTCACTGTGAAAGAACACCTTGTGCTTCCTACAGGTGGCTTCAGACTTACAGTGTCTATTTCTGACATTCATAGAGTTTTATTCATCTGTTGGACTCTTCACATTGAAACAAAATTATTGTTATGCAGCCCATTGCATTTACATGTAAAGTCAAGGGTTCCTGACAAAGTAGTAGTATTTGACAAGTTGGGAGTGAGACTGGTCTTAGAAACTATGCAACCGCAACACTTGACTGTGGCTTTTCTCAGCTTGAAAAACTTCTGCACTTTTGCAGCATAACTCAAACTAAAGTGACTTTTAGCATACTTTTAACACTATGTCAACAACAGCAAAGACTGCAAATGCCAGTTTATTCAGATATAACTTCCCAGTGGCTGATTCACTGAGTTACCTTCATACCTTTGCTATGTGAATCCCAAAAGCCACCTAAATCCAGAACATGGACTGATTATAAGGTGTCTAGACAACCTTTTACCATAATCTGACCATTCAGTTTTAAAGCTTTCAAGTTGTCCAAGAAGAAGCCTTACTTCTGCCTGGTCTGCAGTATACCACGTAGCCACATTGCTTTTATTGTGGCTGTCACAGCTGCACAGGACTTTGTGCAACAAGTTGAGGCATGTTTCAGTGGGTTGTCACAAGGTATTGGAGGGACAGTGTCTCATCTCTCAGCCATCCAGACATGATTGAGGCAGGTTGAGGGGCAGTGAATGCACCACAAGGTCAACTGTAACACTTCATTTAAAAATAACACCTGCATCACAAGTGCGATGAAACGGCGAAACAGTGGACAAGTATTGGAGGGTGGAATTTTCCTTTAAGAAGCTCACATTTCGCTGTTAGCCCTGGGCTGTGCCTCAGACCGAGGTCTCCTCCATTATCACAAAGTGGCAATGATCTTGACCTCATGTGATGCTAAATTGCACATCCGACTCACTCTCTTCTGCAAAGAACCTGTGATGCAAATTCACAGAGTTTATATTTAGCCTGTCTTTCATCAGCCTGCTATTCCCCGATGCATTCCCAGTGGCTAAATGGAAAATGTGGACCAGCTCTGTGCTAATTCACACATGTGGACTTATTAGCATTGCCAGTGGCTAGTTTTTTCTATTATTGCACGTGTCTTTTACATACTTGAATTACACACATTCTAATTTTGCTAAGTTCACTCTCTTAATGTAATAAGAGTTAAATGACCAAAGTTTACTCCCTTCTCTGCCTGTTTCCCACAGCATGTTTCTAAGGATGAAGCCAGTCTCATGGGATAGCCATGTTTTGTCTCCATGACAGCTATATCACTCAGCCCTCTCTGCAGTGACCCCTGCACAGCAAAGGATGCTGGGAAATAATGAGCACTTTTATCCCGGTCAGGATGACAAAGATGGGGAGGATGAAGAGGAGGAAGAGGAGCAGGGAGGAGAAAACAGAGAAGAGGAAGGTGGACGTGACACGGAGAATGGAGGATTAGAGGGTCTGGAGGAGAAGGAAATGACGGGAGGACGACAATCCTGGGAAGGGAAAGGCGGCGAGGTGGTGAAACCAGCAGCCATCGTGGTCGGCAGACAGAGAGTAGACCGGCCGCTGAGGCCGGGCAACCTGGGCAACAGGGGTGTCAATTACATGCCCAATTTAGGCCCAGTACATCCACAAGTTGCCAATAAGCAGCAGCAGCATCTCTTGGCAGCAAAAAGAAGAGCTCTCATGGAGCGCAGCATGACCACAGTGGCCCCACTGGAGGACACTTTCCTGACCATGATGGTGTTTCGCATTGGGATTCCTGACATCAAACAAACAGTAGGTGCATCAGAAGTGTGTGTGAAATTCACCGAATGTGTCCACCTACACTGCAATCCCAGCATCTTGATGACCCAAATTCAAAACAAATTTAAATCCACAAAACAGAAGTATAAAAGAATAAACTTTTCGGGCTCATTTAAAATCAACCATTTAGAAGTTTAGTTATCTGTTACAGTCTCCCTCACAAACAGGGCACTGACTTGAGGTCTTTCCAAATGTGGAAGTAGTTCAAGTCAGGTCTCTGTGGTATTATTGCCTCAGAGAGAGAAAAGCTTTAATGTGACAAACAGAATTTAAAACATAATATTTACTTTAACTGTTAAGGCATGTATGCATTTGGCTTATGTGACCATTATGGATCCTGATCTATTTGCAAGTACAGACAAGACTAAAACTGTTTTTCTTTGTATTTGTAGAACAATTACATAAATACATACTTGCTTTTAGTTTTTGGATCCTGAAGAAACACTCTCTCATCTTGTTTGTACTACGATTGTATGTACAGCAAAATGAAAATAAACTTGATTTGATTTGATTTAATTAAATAACTAAACTTAAAAAAAAAACACTTTTTTGATCCACATATGATCTACATTGGTGAGTATTTTTAAAAAATGGTGAACAGAGATTTGAGCACAAGCTGAGCCTTTGGTTGCTCCTTTCCAGTGAGGCCCCTCAGTGTTCATCCTCTCGCTCTGTTTTTCACCCTGTGTTTCTCTTTGTTGACAGTAGAAAGGGACTGCTTCCCTTCTAAATCCAGCTGTTTTGCATTTGCAAATTAAAACATTTGAAGTGATTTTGCTGTAGAGTTGACACTGCAACTGCTTCAGATTAGTCACTGAAAAGAACCCAGAGGTATTTGACGCAAGGACTTTTGAAAAAATTGGCCAAATCGTTTGCACAACTGTACGAGCACATCTCCTATTTCAAAGCGTTTTCATTCCAGTCTTCCCACAGGCCCAGAGATGAGTCCCAAAGTGACGTAGAAATATTACAGCTCGACTTGTGTTGAGCAGCCTGCAAGGGCAGAAATATTCAGTCAACAACACCATGCAAACATCTGCCTTGGGTCAGGTATGGTCATAATTAGTTTCCAAAACTGAAGTTGGCATCGTTTCACACTTGCAGCAGCTCTCAGCTTTATGGTGGTGGCAGGTGAGAATTGGCCAGTCCACACACACCACATCCAGGTGAGAATGGGCGCCCCGCTGTAGTCCCTCCCCCATCTTCCTTTCTCCGTTTTCAACTCCCTGAACATGCCGACTGTTCTACATGTCAGCTAATCTGCCCTCAATATAACAGTAATTGCTAATTATCTAATAGGTTTTTAATGAGTTTGGGGAGAGCTGAGGAAGTGAGTGACTCTGGAAAGGAAGGAATATGTGGAAGGCATCTGTGTTGCTCATAGGGCTCCACGAGCCACGGGCATCATATTCAGCTCCGCAATCACTGACAAACACTCAGCATCCAAAACCTTGCGGCAGAAATATTACCGAGCTGAATTAAAGAGAGATAAAGCGAGAGAATGAGTGTCGGTTAAAAGGACCGAGGGAGGGAATGAATGTGATAAAGGCAGACATGGGGAGTAAATAAGTAAAGACGTGAATAAGCATTCTCAGAAACTGTAAAACTGTATGTTGAAGGTGTTAATATTTCTCCTGAGGGGGGCACAAGCGCTGCCAGAAAGATCTCGGAAAATCCTTGATTGCATATAACAGAATAGTGAGGGGAGAAGTGTCGCTGTAATGTACAGTATACATTACATTAGACTTCTCTCTGAGGAATTAGCTACTCGATCTCTGTCTCTTTCACACACACACACACGCTGCAGAACTACATACGCCACACTGCACAAGGACACTTCCATAACGACGCACAGACACACACATATACTTTACAGCTCACTTATGCGCGTGTGCATAAACACGCACACACGCGCTCATCCACGTCATGTGGTTTACCTCCCAGGGACCACCAAGACATTGCTACGGCAACGGGTGCCTGCCTCCACTAATGAACTGGTTGCCATGCCAATAGAGTTGGCTACGCTATCATACAGTGCAACCGAGTGGGGGCTTAAAAGGGGGGATTGAGGGGACATAGAAGTGTGCTGAGCTGTGCAGTTTTGCCTGCCGTCCTCTGAAATGGAACAATAGCATGAATGCACATATCTCACTCAGACCTCTCAGCCCTGTTGTTAAAGCCCTGCCTTCCTTCAAGGTTCTCCTTTGGCTCCATACTTCAATGAGAAAAAAAAAGAAGAAGAAGGTCCTCCTGTGGAAATGCAACAAAATGGAATAATATGAGGAAATGGGCAGTGCACAAATCACAGTGAAATCTAGTTAGGCACACTGCACTCCCCATAATACATCCAAGGTATTTTCTCATTGTGGCCAGTGAGCCTCGGGTGTTATCGCACACAGACATACTGTAAGAGCCAAAGGAGATTTTCTCTTCAAAGTAGTTTGTTCCTCCTGTTCTGAATTGTAGTGCAAATGCGATACTTTTCATACAGATATCAAAGAAGAAAATAACAAAAGGGGAAAATTTATCCCATTATGTGATTCTCACCCCTTCATTAGAGGAGAAAGATATGGTATGAAAATAAATGTGATCCAGAACCAAACAAGCGGGTAGCGCCGACGAAAAGGATGGTATAAGTCATTTAAGTCATGGCTGTGGCAGGCGATTAATTATTTAAAAGCAATGCATTCATATTCCGCACACACCACATTCTCATGCATTCATCATTCACCAAGTGATTTGAAACCATCATGTTACATTATTAATCCATAATAATAAAAAGTGTTTGGCCAGATATTTAACCACAGTGACTAACGTGTTTATACACACAAAAACCCATCCAGTCCAATATTTAAAAATCTTATAATAAAATAGACATTGCCATTAAAGTAGTTGTCATGTAATGACAACTATCTTATTCCAGATCAAAAAGGCAAAACTGAGGCTTCTGCTATGAAGTGTTCCGACATTGTTACTTAATCAAAGGAAGCAATACTGTGATGTAGAACTACAAGAAGTTTTACTTAAAGTACATAACAGGGTTTCTTCTGCCTCTGATGGGCGACGGCATAACAGTACGTTATAGACAGTATAAGAAAACAGTCTGTGCAGTAAGTTTGATCAATCCACATACAGTCATGGTAATGAGCCTGTGTTACCCTATTTGACAGAAATCTGTGCATTTGCTGATTATTTCTGAACATGTGATTAACAAAACTGGCTAAAAAATTTTTTTAAAAACGGCTTTTAAAAACTGTCAATTGTTATCATTTTGGTGATTTTCCTTCGACACAGGATAAAATCTTGTTAAAAACTGATCTCTATCCAGGAAAACCATTATATTATCAGCTACATGTACTTATCAAAGGTAAATGGTATTAAACTCATTATTCATTGTCTATCTAGGTTATATTATTCATGTATGAAGAAACAATTTTTATTCTCATTGTTGTAGCTTGTTATGTACGCAAGACAATTTTTATCCTATAACATTGTGTTATCATATCTTATTCATAGATTTTCTCTCGAAAATCTAAAAAAAACCAAAAAAAAGACTAGCTATGCATTTTGTTAATGAGGTGGGGAATACAATATTTTTTCTGACATGTAAGTAGTAGTGAAATACTGACATAAAACTTAAAATTGTTCCTACATCTGAAAAATGCAGCATATTCTCTACAATACATTAGCTTATCGAGCTAACTAGTTAGCCAACAAGCTAAGCTAACCCATAGCTTGTAAGCTACTTGGTTTGCTAACTGCTTCTCTTTAAAGGTTAAATATATTATTTTTGACAAATGCATTTCAGGTTGGCCTCCCATTGTCCTTTACATTTTAAATCAAAGTTCTCCCTAGAAAGAATATTCCTACTAGTATATATATATATTTCTTCATTAACCTGTGGTGGGAGCTAACAGCACAGATAGCTAATATACATAATAAATGATAAACTGAAGGAAAATCCAAAATAAGGTGCCACCATGTGCTGCCAGAACAGCTTCAGTGCACCTTAGCATTAATTATCCAAGTCTCTTTAACTCTACTGTAGAGACAAAAACTTTTTTTTTGCAAAAGATATTTCCTCCTTTGGTGTTTTGATGGGGTGGCAGAGCATTCTGTCTAACACATCCTCCCAGACGGGTTCAACTGGGCTGAGATCTTGTGGCAGCGAAGGCCAAACAAATGATTTACATTATTTTCATGCTCATCAAACCATTCAGTGACCCCCCTCCTGCCCTGGTGATGGGAACATTCATCCTGGAAGAGAGCACTTCCATCAGGATAAAAATGTGTTATCATCAGATAAAGGTGATCACTCAACTTTGTATTTATTTGCAGTGACTCTCCCATCTAAGGGGACCCAAAGCATGCCAGCAAAATCCCCCCTGCAGCATGAAACAACCACCGGACCCCCTCGCTGTGGGGGTCAATGGTTTAGGTTTTTACTTTCATTCGTCATCTGTCTGTAGTTTATCCCAGCAATTTGGCAGTGAATGGCAATTTCCTCAAAGCGCTGAAAAATGTTATAAAAAACACAATCTTTTCTGAAAATCATTCACAATCCTTGTCCACAATTAACATTGGCGCACACATGAAGCAACCCTTTAAACCAGTATTTTCACTATTATCCCTCTCGTCTGCCTCCAGAGCAGACGTACATGACAGAAACACGAGCAAATCTGCACTCTGCCTCTGACCTTGGCTCTGCCCTTTGCCTCCTGTCTGTCAGAGGTGTCTCCAGTTTGACCAGGACTGCACGGTGTGGAGCGCCAAGCAGCAGATCATCTGTTCACTCGGCGAGTCGCTGTGGGACGCCTACAACTACGGCCTCTTCCAGCCGGCTGGAGACGGGCGGGACGCCAAGTTCCTGGAAGAGACGCGACCCCTGCGGGACTATTCACAGTCCTTGGAGAAAGGGGTGCCTTACCTGGAGGTATGACGAGGCCACTGGGTGCAGGACCACATAAGTATCTCCTCAGTACCAACATTCCCTTGAAATTCTCACAATATAACACAGATGTAGAGTCTGAGATTTAAATTACAGACATTATCTTTCTTTTTACTGTCACCTGTTCAGTTTCCTAAAATGAAAATCTTAATACTCTTTAATAGCCTTCACTACACTGTCAGGATCAGTATGATAGGGGTTTTTACTTTATTCATACTTTATTCATTTCTTAACCTAAAAGTAGTCATATTTAAATATACTGAGTCCCCAAATTCCCTCAAAAGGTGCAGAAGTTATGAGTTTAATTTCTTCTTGGATATCAGTGGACCGCTTTGGTTCTGTGATCTATTGCATTGTTGCACAGATACTTGTTTCATGTTTTTTTAAGGTTCAGATCAAAAATAAGTCAAAAGAAACAATTAAAAATATCTTATATACAGCTAATGTACATTTTTATTCTTTTGCAACTTCTGTAGAAGCTCAAACTCTGGTGCTGCATCATACTTTGAAAACTTTACGGCTCATAACTAAATTAAAAAAAAAATAAAAGAAATCGTCCACAAAACAACTCAAAGTTTAGTTTCCTTTATTAGAATTCCGGGGCTCTGCACAGTAAATGAACTGGGTAAGGGGAATCTTTACAAAATTGGATGGATTTAATTGAGTTCTGTACTATTATGTAACTTGCAAATTATATTTCTCCTCTATTTGCTTAAAGTGGGTTGTGAGATAGCATCAATGTGAAGTTTCCGTGCTGTAATACAATTATCTCACAGTGCCCTCTGCTGGTTCAGCCGCTGTAAAGGCTGCAGAGCTGGGTGGGGCTGAAAGAGGATCCTGCACTCACAGTTTGGCTTCAAACCAGAGTATTTACATTCTTGACTAAGCTCCAGATGAGGACATGACTGTGTGCTGATGAAGCCTTGTAGCTACGTTTTGCTCCACCGCAGAATGTGCAAAAGTTTCAGGCACGGCAAGTTAAAGTCAAGATGACTTTTAAAAAATAAAATCATGGATATTCTTTTTCAACAGTGCATTAAAAAGATAAAAGCTAATAACTATTTGATGTGACCACTCTTTGTCTTTAAAACAGCACCAGTTCTACTTGCACACAGTTTTTTTTTGTAAGATACTTGGCAGGTAAGTTGCTCCAAACATCTTGAAGAAGTTGCTGCATTTATTGTGCGGATTTGGGTGAGCTCTTCATCTCAGCCCACATTGTTTCAATGATGACAAGATCAGAGGTTTGCGGGAGCCACACCATCTGCAGCCTTGCTTTTCTTCTCACAATGAGATTGGGACCAATTATACCCCTCCCAACATGATTGATAAAAATCTAAATATTTAAAGTGCCTGAAACATTTGCACAACACTGTCTCTCCCATTTCCGCGACTGTATGTATTTATAAAATAAGTACTGCCATCTGAGTCGCTGCTTTGGTGAGTCGGCCCAGTAATATAGAGCAGTTTCTGAATAGCATTAGTTCTTACAAGTTACACACGGGGTAGTTCATTTATAGCAAGTATTAAGCCTGATTATGCCTTTATTCTGGAAGCCAAACTCATCTCTGTTGCCGGCAGCTGCTGCCTAGATGTCTGAGGTGCGATGGATAGTTGAGCTCAACTGTCAGCTGTGTGATGAGTTCTTAGACGCCCCACCTCAGAGCTGCTCAGCTTTTTCAATCGTGATATTGTACCGATGTGGAGACTATACCTCCAGTCAGGTGGTTTTTTTCTAGATGGGGTTTCCTGTCAACAGGTAGTTACACTAAGTTTCTGTTATGTCGGGTATTCATGGATTTTCAAAGACAGACTGACTCTGAAAGACTGAAATTCAATATTTTGCATTTCCCTGCCTGTTTTCTTTTCTTTTTTATTTATTCCTGGCAGAATAGAGAATACTCTGAAACATTAAAAAGAAAAAAAAGACACATGAACATTGTAGGACATATTGCTGCAGCCCTGCCATCAGAGGGGGTAAAAGGGTAAAACTGACCCCTGCCCAAGGCCCACTGGGGGTCCATGCAAAGGTCTATGGGTAAAACTAAAATTGGAACAAGTAAGACAAATGGATGAGAAGCCCAATTTGGAAAATGTTCTCCTTCTGTTCAGAATTCTGAATCTACAAATACAAAATAAAACTACACATTTAAACAAATACACAGTTTTTACAACAGTGCAGAAAGAAATCTCCACGTAAACCTGCTAAACCTGGTTTATTGATGTTATCGGTGAGCTGTTATATTTTGAAATAGTAAAACTGTGCAGTTCTTGTGACGTATTTGGCCTTTTATCAGCATGAAGTGTTTGCTGTGATCAAAATAACGCCTCCCCAGATATAAACCAGTATAAACACAGGTATTCTAGTTTGTCATTACCTAATCTAATCACACAAAAGACAACAAAGCCGTCTACTTAAGCCCTGTTTAAACTTCTCCCCAAAACCAAATCTAATTTAGATTTCTGAAGAAATAAAGCATGGGAGTGTTTCAGCAACTCTTGAGTGGGAGTGGGAATTTCTGGAAACCGTTAACAGGAATACCGGTACCTTTTCTGAACTATGGATTTACAGCACAAATAGTAATCTGTTTGCTATTTCCCCTATGTAGGCTGTCTGATAAACTGAACTGTGTTGCAGTGAGATGATTCATAGTTTTCACACGTATCTTTTTCTGGTCCTCAGTTTAGGTACAAAACCAGAGTTTATAAACAGACCAATCTGGATGAAAAGGCTCTTGCTAAACTCAGCACCAAGGTATTTCTTTTTCTGTCAATTGAATGTTGCTCTTCATTGCTGTTCGGTGTTTAGTTCCATTCACTGACATGCTTTTCCATTGTTTTCTACACTCAGGCCAGTCTGAAGAAGTTTCTGGATTACATTCAGACCGGCACAATAGAGAAAATGGCAAAAGTCCTTGATAAAGGTCTTGATCCAAATTTTCATGACCCTGACACTGGAGGTGAGTTTTTCACAAGCCTGTGTCTCACCAAGAAATTACATTTGCTTCTTCCAAGCCGTAGTAAGTGTAAATATTAAATGAGAGTATCTGGGGGTCACTTTCACCTCTCTGCCTGTCACCCCTCCTGCCCCGGAACCCCTCTCTGTGGGTCAGAGACCCCGCTCACAGTAGCCATGCAGGCGGGCCTGTCGTTGGAGGGCACCAGGATGCTGATTCAGGGCGGCGCTCACCTCGACTTCAGGAGCAGAGACGGCTTCACAGCGTTGCACAAAGCTGTTCGGGCTCACAATCATGCTGGGCTGCTGGTAAGGACAAGTTAAAGTCACATGCACGCAGAGTACAAACACACTCAAGTACGCCAGGAGGGATTTCTAATTACAGGGTAAAAGCAAAACAGCATAAATACCCCATGGAAATGGTCTTTAACTAAGTAATTAAATAATTGACCACTATGAGCCCTGCAACAGAGGTGCAGAGACATTTTAAGGACTTTTCAGTGGCCTCTACATTGTATGTTTTTCACATTACTTTTGGTATGTTGGTTCCTTTTTCTTCGAATGAATTACCTTTTTCTGCCTTTTTGGAGGTTTGATAGCTGCTTCATGTTGCTTCAAAACCCACATATAGTGTACAAAACCTGGTGTGTCACTGACAAATCATTGTATATTGTTTATAGCTGTGGTAATCTTACTTTAAGCTCTCCTTTTCTTTTTGTTAATTCTTTGTATTGGTGTTATCCATGTAATCAATCCAAAAGCAATTGCATAATCATATAATGTTCCACCTATTGTATAGACACCCCCCACACACAAACACAAAGACACACACATCCCACTTCCACCCCCCACGATCAATTTGCAGTTTTACAGTATGTGCTATTACATGTGAATACAAAGAAAAGCTAACTGGCTGGTATTGTTCCATATTCAGATTTCATTTGCTTTTTTTGATTTTTCTTATCATGAAATCAATCAATATGTTTTAGTTTATTTATGTAGTGCTAATTCACAACATATAATAAAATAATAAAAAAATAAGACTCAACACAAAAAGGGATAAAGTCAGTTTGACAAGCTCTCCAAAGAGGTGAGTCTTTAGCAGCGACTTAAAATTCCCTGAAGTCTGAGCACTTCTTACATGGAAGATAAACTGTTCTAGAGATTAGGAGCCTCTGCAGCGAAGACTCGGTCGCCTTTCTTTTTGTGCCTAAATATCTGAACATCCAGGAGCATCTTTCTGGCAGACCTCAGCGCTGTAACTGGAATATGAAGATGCAAGAATTACATGGCATTACAAGAGTATAATCAAATGGTGATAAAGGAATGGAAGAGAGGAACGTCTTTGATAGGATTTCACCTCAACTCAAGAAAGCTGGTTGTGACCACTGCCTATCACACTTAAAGAATGTGTGAAAAATCAGTCCAAGGTTTTTAACCAAAAAGGCATAAGAGTGCCGTCAGGGTCAGCCTGAAGGACAACTGACTAAAAATAATGATCTCTTTCTTATTTTTATTAAGAATGAGAAAGTTTAAATCCATCAAGGTTTTAATATCTTGAAGCCAGACAAGCAGGGGCTACACCGAGTCTGTACTTTTCATTTTTACATTTAGATAGAAATGTATGTCGTCTGCAGCACTTGTGGCTGATGTCTCTTAAATATGGACCTCAAAGGAAGCGTATACAATTAAAACAGGATTGGGCCCAAAATAGAGCCGTGGGGGCCTCCGCCAGTAAGCGGTGCTGAAGTTTAAGAATGCAAGCCCAACAGGGAACCAAGAAGCTCCTGTCTGTCAGAAAAGCCATTTAGGAACAGTGTCTGATGCCGACACTGTTTCAGACCTGATGTAAAGATACTGTGAGCCCCAGAGTCAAAAGCAGCAGTCAAGTCTGTATCTTCCAGAATAGCAGAGTTTCTTGAAACAACAGTTAAAAGAGGACCACACTTAGTTAAGTTTTTAAACCAGACTGAAGCTTTTCATAAACACCACGGTTATCTAGATAAGTCAGCTGCTGGATAAGAACTACTTTCTCCAGGTAACTAAGAAATCTGCCTGAAGTTTGAGAGGACTGAAAAGTCGATATTTTTGTTTTTGATAAGAGGCTGTTGCACAGCATATTTAAAGGCAACTGGGACACGATGTGATGTAAGAGCTGCATTTTATCAATGCAAGAGTATTCGACCAATGAATGATAATAAAAACCTCACTGAGCAGTCGGGAGGAAGCACTGTGTGCACGGAACAATTTGTACTCTGTAAATACTGAAGCACCTCTGTGAAAAAGGAGAGTGATACCGGCTCAAACTGATCATCGCATAACAAGTTACCTCAGGGTGTTTCACTGAAGGTAGAGACCTCATCATATTATATTACAGCGAGAAACCCATTTCATACTGTGAACAACAGAAATGTTTAGCCCAACGAGCCAGCATTAGTCAGTTACATCTGAATGATTTTACTGCTGCACAGAGTTAAATACTAACTTCACTTTGACCTCCTTTTTTCTAGTCTCTCTTGTCCTTCGGAGCATCTCCAGACTACAAAGACCGCTGTGGCCTGACCCCGCTGTACCACACTGTGCTGACAGGGGGAGACACCTCCTGCTGTGAGACCCTGCTCTATTACAGGGCGAGGCTGGGGACGAGGGACGAGAACGGCTGGGAAGAGTCCCATCAGGTAAACCCATGATATGAACTCCAATACAAGTCAGTCAACCGGTCTGTGTGTTTGTGGTGGTTTCATGGTTTCCTCTCATATTTTTATGTGAAACTGGTCTTCGTCTTTCTCCATGTAAACTTCAGCAATGCACCAACGTGTCCCCGTCTTATTTCTGTGTTTGACGTCGTGTAACATCGCCCTCAGTGTTTAGCCGCACCTCTCTCCTCTCGGCCTTCCTCACTCGTCTCTCCACTCTCTCTCCTTCCTCCCCTCCTTCTCTCTCTTTCCATAGCACAGGGATGAAGAGGAGTTTGGAATGGAAGAAATACATAAGGTACCCTTCATCCCAACATCTCATCATCCCTACCAGCCTTTTAGAGGAAAAAAGAACTGAGAATCATAGTACAGTTATGATGTAAATAGTGAATGAAGTGACCACATTGTTTCCTTAAACGTGTCTAAATCGGAGTCATCTCGAGCCGAGTCGAGTTCAGAAAGAGCATTGGATATTATCTCTTTCTTGCTGTATTTATGGGTGCATTGCCTACATTATTGTCTCTGTGACATTCTGGTAAATTTGTGTTTGTGCTGCGAGCCGGTTGTCATGGTGTTTTATTTTGGATTTCTTTACTTTGTACGTATCTTGTGATATTTTAGTCCCTGCAGAAAAATATGAGGAAACCTCTCCGGCTGCTGTAAAGCTCATTTCTGTTGTTTTACTGGTTTCTGTTTCCTTTCTTCTCCACCATTGTGCAATGTAATTGGCTCCTACCTGTTTTTCTGTGAAAGTAATTTTGGGTCTAAATGTGGATGTAAGACATATAATTTCCTTTTCTCTTGTTTGTCGCAATGTCTTTCTTTTTTTTTTTTCCTCTCTTTTTTTTTTGAACTAATTCTTTTTGCACTATCCTGTCCTCGTGCTGTATGAAACAATGCTTATCATTTGATCTTTCCTCCCTCTATACTTGATAATACTAACAATTTGCGGATATTTCTATTACACTCTTGACATTATAAGGCTTGCCAGAATGGCTTTGCACAGCACTTGGAGCATCTGCTGTTTTATGGGGCAGACACCACTTCTCAAAATGCCTCAGGGAACACCGCACTTCACATCTCTGCCCTGTACAACAAGGCAAGTAGGGAACGGATCCCTCATATGAAACTATAATAATTACTGCTGTTTATTTTCGAGGCGTTAACTAATCGCTTTCTCTCTCTGAATGATCAGGAAAGCTGTGTCCGTGTTCTTCTGTACAGGGGAGCCAATAAGGAGGCAAAGAACAAGCATGGTCAGACCCCTTTTCAGGTAAATGCTTTAACTGTTAACTGCAATGTCTGGAAGGTGCATTTGTAGAGTAGCTTTGAGGAACAGTTTTGTTTAAGAAATAGCAAAAAATCACAAGAGCTGGAACAATGCTATTCCAATTTGTGCTCTGTTCGCAGGTAGCTGTAATGGCTGGTCACTTTGAGCTCGGGGAAATCATCAAAAACCACAAAGATACTGACATAGGTGAGCTTTTCCGTCGAGCTTCTGAAGTGTCACAGTCAGTTCACAACACCTGCCTGCTTTGTACTTTCCCAAATGTCTTGTTTATGTGCCCTGACAATATCTTTTCTTTTCCCTGACAATCTACCTAATTCCTTCCTCCTCCTTCATGCTGTCACATCAAACCTCACCCCTCTTCCTCACCTCCCACACCCGACCTCTGCACCTTCGCCATAAACCCAAATGCATCTCCAGTGCCCTTTTTGGAATCGCCAAAGTTTGTCCCCAGGCGAAAAGAGAGCTCCCACACACTGCCTCTGCCTTCGCTTCACTCCCACCCACTCCTGCGTGCTAATAGCGATAACACCATGACCCAGTCTGACCCTCTGCCCCCTCCCAACAAGGCTGCAACCAACCCCAACCCAGGACAGGTACAGAGGGCCTTTAGGTGGATGCTCGTCTCTGTGATGTTAGATGTGCTTTCCTGATGTTGCCTTCTCAGTCTTTTCTGTATAATATGTTACAGCATCAGCTTTGATGCTCTGTCTATATGGGTTTTTGCAGGGCCAGCGCAGGGCCTCCATCGGCATGAGAAGCTCCAGCAGCCCCAGAACTCGTACTCGCTCCCCCTCCAGAGGAAGAGGAGGCCAAAGTGACACAGAGGAGAGGCACCGGCAGCCACGGGGGAGGCAGGGGTAAGAAGAGAGAATGTGCACAAGAAATAAAGAAGACTGGATGGCTCTTACTCTGACCAGATCCTTTAAGGCTATTTAGCAGAAGGGAGTCACTCATCTCCAGTTACCATCAGCTGTATGCAAAGAGTACTGTTGCATGCTGTGCTGTATTTTTAGTTACAAATATGTCACCTATTTTAAGTGTGCTATGAGTGAACAGTGTTCTTCTTCACTCCCTGAAAAAAGGTTTAAAAAATGTCACAATAGCTCGGTCGGCTATAACTTGGCCATAAATACGGGTCTATAGCTATATATAAATCTCACTTAAATTTAGCGAATGAAAGAGGACTCAAATCCTTTATTTCGGTAAAAGTACCAAATACAACAATGTTAAAATACTCTTGCATGAAAAATCTAATTATTATATATGGCTTAATTAGATTAATAATAGTGAAGCATCGTGTGTCAGCATCATGTTACTCTTGTAGCTGCTGCAGGTTTAAACCACTTTATATCCAGTTTTATATCCAGAGACAAGATCCAAGACAAATCTAAGGGCTCGACACATGATTATAGAGAGGGGAAAGAAGAAGAAAAAAAACAATGTACTGAAGCACAAATCTATTTTCAGTGTCTGGACTTCTTCTCCAGTCTTGGATTTTTGGTGAGATATTGGATCATTTGAACGTTAAATCATGTGGGAGAAGTTTTATAGGGAAAAAAATCACTGTTTCCCAAAGCTGCTAACATCTCATAGACGTCTGAAATATGACCTCAGCTACACACGGGTCTTTGAAAGATGTGAGAAACCGAAAAGATTGGAAAGCGCTGGTTTAATCGTCTCCAACAGTTGGTTGAAGTTTAAAACCTTGTTGTATTATCCACTGTGTCAAATCTGTATCTTAAAAGTAACTCAGATAAATGCAGTGGAGTTGAAAGCACAACATTTCCCTCTGAAATGTAATGGAGTGGAAGAGTAAAGTAGCATAAAATGGAAATATTTGGAATGGAAATACAATATTTGAGCAAATGTGGCGATGCTTTCAGCTAAATGCCACAGTCAGTGTGCTTACAACTGTGTAATGGCAACGTGAAAACGCAGATGTATACTGTGTTCACCATTTTGGTTTATGGCTTTGTTATGCTAACATTTGATGATTAGCAATACACACCAAGTGCAGCTGAATTCACTTAGTTTTGTCGTAGTAGACAAGTTAATTTAGACCAATAATTGACTCGATGATGTCCAAGATTGAGATTTAAATCGATATTGAGCCATAGAATTATTAGGATTCAGTCTAAATTACTTTCAGAAGAAAGATTTTACATGCTGGATAGTGAAACAAGTTTTTAAAAATCAACACATGATTGAATATTAAACCAGTGGTTTCTGAACTTTTTGACTTCTTACACAAAGCGGTGTGTAGTCAGGGTCGCATTTCAGACGTCTTTGAGTTGTTAACAGCTTCACTAAATAGGGATTTTTCCCGCTAAACTTCTCACATGGTTTGATTTTGTAAATGTTCAAATGATCTAATATCTCACCAAAAGTCAACGAGTCCAAAAAACTGAAAACAGATTTGTGTATCAGAACTGTTATTTCTCCTTTCCTCTCCTGTTAATCATTTCATGGCCACTCAGATTTATCTTCAGTCCCTGTATATAAAGCTGTAAATAAAGCAAATCAAACTGGCTCCACCTGCAGCAGCTACAACAGTAACATGCTGCTGACACACGATACTTGACTAATAATAATCATATGTAGCAACGTATCAGTCAGAGGGACAAAGCCAGTCCTTTAAATGAAATGTTTTATTTGCAATGCTGTATTGCTATTTCTATTTAAATAAAAGACCTGAATGCTTCTTCCACCGTTGTCCAACACCAGATTTATAAGCATTCGTCATCCAGGAAGTATGAATGTCTGAACCAAATTTTGCTCTGATCCAACAAATGCAATACAAATGCTTAAGTAGAGCAATTGTATCACGATTGGTATTTAGACACTGTGCGGAAATTAGTTGTTATCAGGTGAGCTAAGATAAATGAGCTGTGATCAATTAGGCAATAAAAAGTGACAAACTCCTTACAGCAGTTCCAGATGTCAACAGACAATGGACGAGTAGTTGGAGATGCTGCTACCTGCCAGTTAATGCAGTTCAGTACTCTAAAACTTTCTATTATTTTTCATTTTTTTCTATTTCTCAACTTGACAAATTTCGCCTGGGTCAGAGCAGCAGGCTGTCCAACTAACTCAAGTTAGTTTGGTTAAAAATAAATCAATAAAGTTTTTGTAATACCAAATGCATGGTGTCAGCTTTAACACCCAGCGCATGCTTTTGATTATACCTCATTATTAAACTTCCATCTGGACTATTAGTTAAATTGTAATCTAAATGACATTCATTTCTACTTTATGCTAATTTCTTGTATTCCAACTGCCATAGCTGCATAAATTTATCATCATTGTTTTTGCACAGAATAAACTCACACTGTTTGTTAAAATTATTAGTTCCTTCTATGTACCTGACATACTGAATGCGAGACGCTGTGAGTAAATACAAGATTGCCGCCTGCATTCTGACTGCTGCTATGACTGATGAGTATGACTCAGCTCCCGACTGTCTCTGATGGAGCCTGACAAGCTGTATGTCGTCCCACTTGTTTATCACAGTGTGAAACTTATCTCAGTGTTTTGTTATAGACTCTCTGCCTCCTCCTCCCTCTGCAGCGCGACCTCAGCGGGCAGCGGAGGAGGTCAGATGAAGCGTATGTACAGCGCAGTGCCAGGACGAGTTTATGTGGCCACTCGTGCCCACTCTGCTAGCGGAGACAGAGAGCTCTCACTTAACAAAGGGGACAAAGTTAAAGGTGAGAAATGTCAGCGCTTTCACACGGTGAAATATTAAAACACAAAACGGTTTAACCCTCTGAGCACGAAGCAGTTTCCAGGCTCCCGTCACATTTGTTGCTCCCTGTAGGTTCACTGCAATATTAAGTGCTGCACTTCTATGGAACCAGCACAACGTTTGAGACTTCAAAGGTGTCTTTTGTGCATAATAACGAAATTATGATCTATACATTGTGGGGAAAAAAACTGGGAATACAACTGGACAACATTTTTCCAAGTGGCAGCTATGATGGAAAACAGTGTGACTGTTACTATGGCTGCTTTACTATTTACATTTTTAATTTCTTTTTATACTTTTCTATTTTCTGCTCTGTGCAAACACAGCCTGCAGTTCAGCTCAATTCAGTTCAAAGGTCCATGAATTTTGTCTGTTGCAGCTGAGTAACTAGCAGTTTGATGGCTGCACTGACGAGTGCAGAATTTTTGCTTTTTTAAACAGGATCACGTTACTGCAAGCACTTTAATTTGGGCTAATTTTTAATTGAGACATGTAGAGTGATGTGATTTTTGGTGAAATAGTTTTCTGATGGCACGTCACAGATGAGTAAAACTCAAAAACTGTTGAAAATCAGAAAACTATTTCTGTTCTTCAGGTCTGGCTCTGATAAATTGTGAAATTTTGGTAATTTTTATAAAGTAACATGCCTTTTAAACCCGCCTTCGGGTTTTGCGGTTCAGAGAGTGACACGCCGCTATCAAAAAAAATTAACTAATTGCTTTGGAGTCATGTTGTTGTTTAATTGTGAAATTATCAGAGGATTAGCTCTCAACTGCAGATAATTGGGTGTCGTGTTCAGATATCACTGGTGCAGCTGCAACACAGTTTAAAGCCGAAAAATAAAAGCCACTGTATCGAAAATATCAACAGCAAGGAGGAGCTGTACATAAAGGAGAGGACTGTAAACAAGAGAAATGAGAAGCGTCAGCAGACATTTCCCAATTCACCACAAAGCAATACATGTTCCCAGCTATTCTCAGAGCACTGAACAATATAATGATGAAAAAAGTAGCTGAAGCAAAACAAGTTCTTACATGACAGTAGATTTAGGACCAAGCTAAATTCTATCCATCTGTCTATGTATGTGGTTATTTATCTGTCCATGCATGTGTCTCAGTGTTGAGTGTAGGAGAAGGAGGATACTGGGAGGGAACAGTGAAAGGACGCACCGGCTGGTTTCCTTCAGACTGTGTGCAGGAGGTGGGGGCTCCCAGCAAAGACAATCGAACAGGTGAGTTAAACCTGTGGGAGCTTTATGTCACTGCTGTGTATGCTGTTATATATGACCATGTCCATAGTGTGTGATGACAGTCTCCAAGACACAGATTCCATACATAACAAATGTAGCACCAATAACATCGGCCTGCAAGGTAGGGTTTTCTGTATCAGAAACTTGCCCTTCTGCAGTGAGGAGTGTTTGAGCAGAGCTGAGCTGGTGTGCTGAGCTGCAGCGAGTGGAGAGAGGCAGGGGCTTCGTAAATCTAAAAGAAGCAACTGTGCAGTGTTACATCTAAGCCATTTTAAGACAAGATTATTTTCATGGGGAAAAAATGTCTAAATATGTGACTTTACACATTTAGGGGTTTAATTAATAACCGTGGAAGGATTTTAAGCATAACGTAGCTGCAGATCAGCTAAATATATCAGTCTCTCTTTAGATTAGAACAGTCTAAAGTATGCTGCAACACCAAGGTGGAAATGTTCCACCACAGCATTGATTGTCTACTATATGGAAAAGTTAGTGTAGCAAAAAACTTGATTTTGAAATTTTGAAACAAGTCTTTTGTCTGATATTTTTATGTCCTTGTTGTTTAAGCATTAATGTGTAAAGCTGGGGTAGGAAAACATCTGGAAAAGGCAAAAAAAAGAACTCAAACAAAAGAAAAACGGCACCATTTAAAAAGACAATCTTCTTCCTGCAAGTCTCGGCTCTTATGTTTCTGTCCAAAGCCTATCCATCCAAGCATGGCTGTGACTTTTGGCTGCAGTTGGCAGAAGGATAAACTATTAGCAAAGTTGAACATAGCCTCTACAGCCAACCCCTACAAGACCTGTCATAGCTGCTTACCTGTCCAGGAGACAGGAGAAGAGCAGCAAGCTCAGATTATTGTATTTATCGAACTTACCTCCAGTTCTATGAATACATATTTTATTACATTGACTACCAACTCTCTTTTCAGCCTGTCTTCCTTTGTTTGTGCTGTTTTGCAGTGTAGACAACCATTGAGATCTGCACGCACATCTGCATTTAGAAGCTGTCAGGAATAACACCCTCTCTATGAGAAGATGTGTGATTGGCCAGAGTCACTGGTTTCATTTTTTTAAGGCCTGAAAACAAAACCAAGAGGAGATGCAGAAGTTTAGTTTCCTCTAAGACCACTTGAATTACAATATGCTGTGGTTCTTATGTTGTTTTGGGGTTTTTTTGTTGCTAAATTATGTCACAAAATAACGACCTACCATAGCTTTAACTGAAGAAATTTGTTGTTCATATTTTTGCTCTCATTTACTCGAAAGGTGTGTTAACGAGATGCGTATAAAAATAGTACACGTATTGGAGAAGAGGCGTGCTGGAAAATGGGTTAGATATTTCCTCAGGCTGGAATTATCCTTTGAATCATTGTAACACCCAACACATGTCACACTCATGTTTACCAGCAGGCCATTTCGCAGCAGACAGTGGTACATGTACAGTTATTCCCCTTTCCCATATTTTCACAGCTGCACTGTTCACACAGAGAACAAACCATATGCCATGTTGGAGACACAAAAGCATGGTGTAAATATTCATTCGTGTGTCTGTTGTGCTGAAGACACAACACTTCCACAAGAAGACAGAGAAGGTGTCATGACGGAAGCTGAAAGTTTAAATTGGGCATGTGTTTTGCCTGCTTGTGCCTTGCAGAGACCCGCAGCGAGAAAGCCAAGAGGAAGCTTTTCCGTAACGTCACTGTCGGAGCCTACGACGGCACCGATGGCCCCAGGTGAGAAAAGCTGCTGTGACTCCTGCAGTCAGTGATCGGTCAAAAAAAAAAAAAAAGCAGTAGTCAATAAGTAAGTTAGAGCTGCAACAATCATCTGTCTGCTTCAGTCCTGCTGTAAGTCAAGCTGCCCTGAAGTAATACTGTGGTCTGTAAAGTCTAAAAATGCTGGAAAAATGTAAATGTGATAGACTTCTCGCTGAATGCATGCTGGGCGTAGAAAATAGATGGATTAATAAAACTAAGCCTGAGTGGCTGCAGCCTCTGATGTAGTTTTGGATTGTCACATTAGTGTGGGCAGCAAATGAACTGTCTGCTCTCTGTTTATCACTGTAAGGCAAGACTGTGAGGCCAGTCAAGGTGATTGAAATACACTGTTGGTTCGTGGGCTACAATAGGTTCTTGTGTGTGTGTGTGTGCAGCGTGTGTGTATGTGCTCACTTGTTTCACCTATTGTGCTTTGATGTCTTCCCGCTTGCTGTATGCGTCTGTTTTCTGCTGATGCTGAACTGTGCTTGTTCCCGATTGTTGTGCCGCGTGAGCACGTCACCGCTTAAAAGAACAAAGAGCAGCCATGTCATTTTCAGCTCGTCCCCTTTTGACTCCACCAAACAAACGCACTTGTCTCTTTGATACTTCCATCCACATGCTTCTATCTCCCCCTCTTGTTGCTCGCGCACACTGAGCGCAATAATGATATAATGAAAGGAAGACGGGGAGTTTCTCCTGCTCTTCCGTGGCATCCATCTAAAGCTGCAGCTCAGCCCTGGGCTATGAAGCTATGTATGTTTGTTTGGAGTTAGCGTGCATGTGAATGTGAAAGTGGCTCTGTCTTTGTGTGTACATACATCATCCAGCTGATGAGTCATGAGGAGGCTGAAGCACTGGTTAGGTCCCTGGGCTAGTGAGAAGGACTTACTAGTTGCCATCCTGGGGTTTTACAGCCTCTTACGCATTAAAGCTGACATTACCCTTGTGCTGAGCAGCTTTCACTGTCATTCAAAAAAAAAAAGAAAAAAGGCATTCACTTTAATGCAGCTGCACTTGTGTTCCAAATGGAAATAGCAGCCACTGGGGTTATATTACCTGTGCTAAGTTGGTTAAGCATAATTGCAGAGCTGTGGTGAAGTGGTGCTCAATTAAGAGCAAGGTGATCCGGAGCATGTTCTGTCACTGCAGCTAGGCATTTGGGAGAATGTCAATTACCGTTTCAGAGGGAGATGGAGAGAGGAAGAGTGTTTGTTAGGCTGGGTGCTGATGACAGCTCTGGTTTTAAAGGAGACGAGGGAGCAAAGTTGGCAAATATGTGCATGTGCCGGTGAATCCAGGGTGGGAATCAGCTGTTTGGATATCTGTGATAAACCGGTCATGAGGATGTGCAAATGCAAGCGCTGTCTCCCCCCTGCGTTACGTTTATACCCATCCCCCGCATCCCCACCCCGCAAATTCATCTCTCCGTCTCCCCTATTTTGCAACCAAACCCTCATCCAGCGCACATTCTCTCTCTCTGTTGTGACAATGGCTGGTACCCTCATCACTCACTCCCTCTCTTTCTCCCTCCGTCTCTCTTTCACATTGTCTTTCTCTTGTCTGAAGTACGCCGGGTGCAGACCATCACACTCTCTCTCTCCCTCTCTTCTTCGTGGCCGTCACTGGGCCCCAGAAACAGGAGCGTGTGGTTCATTTACAGGTAGCGGCTGTTTCCTCATTCATTGGCTGGCTATGGATGTGAGGAGAGGACAATGGAGAGAGGGGAGAGGTAGATGATGCTATTGAGAGGCCGTGCCTTTTCAAAGACAGACTAATAAGCTATGTATTCTGTGTGTGTGCGTGTGTGTGTGCGTGTGTGTCTTTGAGTGTGTGCGAATGCGTGCGCGTGTCTTAAATTCGTATTTTCCCTAATGCATGTGCAAATCTCTGGGACGGAAGTAGCTA